GCCACAGTATCAGGTCACATGATCAGGCTCAGATAGACAGTTGTCAGCTGCAGAGGGCAAGGCAGCTAAGGAGACAGACGGGGTGGGTGTTCTCCCACCACCACAACAGACCAGAGAAGCCGGGAAATGGTGTCCTGCCCTTGGGGCAAGGACAACAGCCAGGACTAAACATTCCCTGGGCCACTGGACCTAAATGTAGAGACCAGAAGCTCAGGAGGAGATAGAGTTGCAGTCGTGGAGGATGGCAAGTAGAGAGGGGAACTCATGTCCTGAATACTAATCCAGGCAGGAGACCTGCCTGGTAATTAGTCATTCCCATTTTACAGGTAAGAACTTGGAGGTTTACCAAGGCCTGAGTCACTAGAGATTGAGTCTAAATCTCATTTACATCACACAGTGACCCCTGGACAGAGGCAAAACTCTTAGTTGCTTCCTCCCCCCCCCCCCCAATGTATATACAGTGTCAGCTGCCCTCACTTACAGAGCTGTCCCCTCAGGGAAAGGCCACATGTCAAAGGCCTGCCTGGTGTTACGTGTGGTTCGTGAGATTTGGTCCTTGGTGTGGTAGTGTCAATATTTATGGGCACTTTAAAATGCAGGCATGGACTCAAGAGATGGCTTGGTGATTGAGAGCGTTGGTTGCTCTCGCCGAGGACCTTGGTTTAATCCTCAGCATCCATGTGTTGTCTCACAACCATAATTCCAATTCCAGGAGACCAAAGCCCTCTTCTGACTTCTAAGGGCACTAGGCACACAGGTGATACACACACATGCATTCAGGCAAAACATTCATACACATAAATACAACTTTTTAAATTGCAGAGCAGAAGGCTGAGAAGGTCAGGGGTGGAGTATTTGCCTAGCATACCCAAAGCCCTGGGTCTGATCCCCAGCACTGCATAAACCAGATACGGTGACACATGCCCATAATCCCAGCATTTAGAAGGTAGAGTCTGGAGGATCAGAAATTCAATGTCCTCTTCAGCTACATAGGCAGTTCGAGGCCAAGGTTGATAAATAAAGCTGTTTGACCTATGGCAAGGCAGCTTAGAGGCAGGCAGAGATTCAAAGAGAGAGACAGGAAGAAGTTGGGGGGAAGGGATGGAACACCAGCGAGCCTCCCAAGGAGCAACATGTAATGGGACGCAGGTAAAGCCACAGAACATGTGACGATATGTAGATTAATAGTTCTGAGCTAACTTAAGATATAAGAGCTAGCTAGCTAAAGGCTTGAGCCATGGCCATGCAGTTATAATTAATATAAGCCTCTGTGTGTTTATTTGGGGGACGTGAGTGGAAGAGATTTGTCCCGATCACCAGCAGGCTGGGACACAGGAAATCTTCCAGCAACAGTGTGAGACCCTGTGATAGGAGGTACTTAGGTCACAGAGAGCACAACCTTCTGAAGGGATTCACATTCCTCCAGGGGGCCATGAATTTGTTCTCCTGAGGGAACTATTATAAAAACAGTAATGGTAGCTTCCCCCTCACCCTGAGTCCTATCTGACCCCATGAGTCCTCTAACCCACACTTGACCCTGCTCTGCTGATGGTCTCCTATGAGGACCCTCAACAGTGAACTTATGCCAACACCATTCTCACAAACTTTTCTTATGAAGCTCATTGGCATTGGGTATTTCATTATTATAACTGTTGTGCCCAGATCGTGACCGCCAGAGAGACCACCGAGTGTACCAGAATGCAAAAGCAAGGTTTATTTCCGTTACAAGTTGTGTGACAGGGAACTCATCTCAAGCACTCACTGGCCGCAGAGCAGTGAGGCAGGGAGGAGTTGCTCTTTCTCGGGGAAGTTAGTTTTTGTAGGTAAAACCATAAAATGTCTTAGAGCGGAGGGGGTTAGTACGGGTCCATCCTTGATTGGTCCAGTTTTTCCCGGGCCTGCACTTTGTCTTATTTCAGCTTATCTGTTTGCCCTGTCAGGAGTTTTACAACCCATCTCTGGGGTCTGGTCATGTTATCTCCAGAGAGGGACATCTCTGGTTAATCCGTTACCACCAGACATCCTGACTTTATTCTTTTGAAAACACCTGACTTTACCCTCTCCAGGAAGGGGGAACTGACTCAGTTCTGTTTATTTTAAGATATCTCTTTCCTTAGCTCTTCTGGGTTTTTGGGGGAACTGTATCTGGGCCTTTGGTGGGGGTCTTTCAATAACAACAGGTACTTGGAAGTTCTCTGACATCAGTGATGAGGATCCTGCCTTGCCTAGTTCTATCTACTCAACAAACTTGACATACCTTGTGAAATTTACACACAAATCTTCAAGTTACCTGTTAGACCTACAGCAACAGACAGGGCAGACTTCCTGTCCTCACAAAGGTTCACAGTCCTGTGCCAGCTTGATGGCTCAGCAAAGCGAGGTGCTTGCTGCCAAGCCCAACAACGTGAGTTCAATCCCAGGGATCCACGTGGTGGAAAGAAAGAACTGACTCCTGCAATTGTCTTCTGACCTCTACACACACACACACACACACACACACACAATGGTAAACAAATGTGTTTTTTAGAAGGTCATAGTCCTAACAGAGAGGTGAGGAAGCAGTCAGGAATCCTGTGAAATGCCCAGGTGCCTTAAGATTACAACAGAGAGGGGTTGGGGATTTAGCTCAGTGGTAGAGCGCTTGCCTAGCAAGTGCAAGGCCCTGGGTTCAATCCTCAGCTCAAAAAAAAAAAAAAAAAAAAAAAAACCACAAAAGACAAAAAACATTACAACAGAGAAAAGCTTCAAGGTAAAAAAGGAAGCCTAGGTGTTCATTGCCCTTCCAGGAGCAGCAAGAAGGCTTCTGGAAGACACTCTGAGCTGAGCCAACAAGGAGAAGTAGATCACTAGTGGGAGGGAGGAGGGAGTGCAAGTGAGCAGAGGAAACAGCTCGTGCAAGGCAGGGGGTGTGGCACTTCCCAGGGACAGCTGGTCACCCAGGGACAGCGGAGTCACCCAGTCACCGTTCTGGGCCTACGGCTTCCAAAGGGAAGGGGGGCGGGATCAACAGACCAGTTGAGCAGGGGTCAAAGCTGGAAGCTCTGGGGATGCTAGGAACAGATTTGCATTTCAGAGTATCCCAGCAGAACAGTGGACAATTAGGCAAAAGGAGAGCAGAAAAACCAGTCTGGTCACTGGAGAGCCCCAGGGAAGGACCAGGAAAGGGCTGGGTTTGGGCCTTGGTCCTGGAGATGGAGCCTGGGAACCAGAGGTTACAGCTATGAAGGGAGCAATTTCTGCAGGACACGAAAAGTGAGCCAAGAGGGCACAGAGACCACATATCCTGCTCTTGGTGGTCACCTGGCCGACCCAGTGGATGTCATCTTCTGGCCCAAGAACTCGTGGGACATGTTGTATCACTTGAGAATTTTATCGCTTATTTTGGCCTGTTTGTATAGAAAGGCTTTTTTTATTTTCTGTTTGGCTTTTGTTTTTATCTTGCTTTGGTTTTTGAGACAGTGTCTTGTGTAACCCAGGATGCCTCGAACTAGCTGTCTCAGGGATCCTATTGTTGTGATAAAATACCATATCAAAACCAACCTGGGGACAAAAGGTTTTATTTCAACTTACAGGTCCAGTCACTGCCATCATGGAGGGAAGTCGTGGCAGGAACTCAAGAGTGGAACTGAAGCAAAGCCATGGAGGAGTGCTGCTTACTGACTTGCTCCCACATAGCTTATTCAACCTGCTTTCTTTCTTTCTTTTTTTTTTTTTTTTTTTTTTTTTTTTGATTTTTCGAGACAGAGTTTCTCTGTGTAGCTTTGCGCCTTTCCTGGATCTCGCTCTGTAGACCAGGCTGGCCTCGAACTCACAGAGATCCACCTGCCTCTGCCTCCCGAGTGCTGGGATTAAAGGTGTGCACCTCCACCGTCCAGCTCAGCCTGGTTTCTTAAACACCTCAGAATCACCTGCCCGGGGGTGGGTGGCACCATTCACAATGAGCTGGGCCCTCCCACATCAACCACAAATGTTATGGAGGCATTTTTCTCAATTAAGATTTCCTCTTCCTAGTTACGTCTAGGAAAACTTTGGGGAGTTGGTTCTCTCCTTATACCCAGGGATCAAACCCGGGTCATCGGGTTTGGCAGCAAGCACCTTTATCTGCTGAGCCGTTTCCCCAGCCCTAACTATTTTAAAATGTGGGTGTGGAGGTGGACATTCATGTGGTAAGGCATGCGTGTGGAATCCAGAGGACAACCCGAAGGAACGATTCTCTCCCTCTAACATGTAGGGCTGGGTATACTGAATGCAAGTTCTCGGGCTTGGTAGTAAGCAGCTGTACCTGCTGGACCATCTTGCTGGTCACTAATAGAGTGTTCTAAAGAGAAGTTTAGGTTTACAGAGAAACTGAGAAAATAAAAAAATTCAGGATCTTATATACCTCTCTATCTCTGGCCCTGACTAACCCATCATTTTCTTTCATTAGTGTGAAATATTTGTTAAATTTGATGTACCAAGGTACAATGTATTGTTAATTAAAGCCGTGCCCTAGTAAGAGTTTCGAGCGATCTGCAACTAAAAGAAACAAAACTGCCGATTTTACCAGCAGCGGAAAGCGTTCTCACTGGTGGGAAGGGCAAGCAGGTGACAGTGTCAGCACGATGGTCGTCGGTGGGGACCCACCTGCCGGCTCCTCCTTTTGGTTTTATTACTTGAGTTCTTAAAATAAGGTCTCATGTAGCTCAGCCTGGCCTCAAACTCACTCTATAGCCAAGGATGACCACGACCTTGAATTCTGCATCTATCTCCTGAGTGCTGGGATTGCAGGAGTGGGCTGCCGTGACTGGCTGTATGTGGTGCTTGGACTGAACTTAGGGCTTCATGCGTGCTAGGTAAGTACTCCACCATTGATCAACATCATCCCCAGACTCACCCATCCTCTTCCTATTCTACCCATACTTTCTGAATTCAGTAGCAACGGAAGCTCAAGGCTGAACTGACCCCATAGAAAACACAGTCTTCATCCCCTAATTCAAAAAAAGACCAAAGGCACACTGGTGTGAAGGCAAAGATTATTTGCACATTTTATTTAAAAGGAAACAGCTTTAAGATAAAAAGGCAGATGTTTTCTTTATTTCAAAGACAACAGTTACAAAAGAGAAGTAATAAATATGACATTGGGATTTTTTTTTTTGTTAAAAAATACAACCCCCTGGAATTTGTGAGAAATCCCAAGAACTCACAAGATATAAAAATCTGTCCCATGCTGACAATACCTTTCCTTTAGCTCCTTGGAGCTGATGTCAGACACTGGAAGATGGTCACAACTTCTGGGATTTCAAAAGATCTTGATGTGTCACGAGAATTTCGGGGGTCCACTCTGATTTGCATGGAGTCAGGTGACAGATATCCTTCTGCTCATTAACATTACTTCCAACAATTCTTTTGTTCTTACAGTAAAGGACTTAGGAGTGGGGAAACAACGGCTGAAATAGAAAGAAAAGGATGAGGGGGGGACTAGAGGGTGGGCACTGTTAAGGGCCAGGAGACAGGCAATATGACAGGTGGAGAGGGGACAGGTAATGATCCACAAGTTCTCCTTCAAATCCCGCCATGACGTTAGGATGGAAGCCAGTGAAAAAGAAGTCAGTGCAGTCTGAGTAGAGAGAGGGTGGCCAGGAAACAATGCAAGGACCACAGGGAAGAACCATCCAAGCATTAGGCAACGTGTCCTCTGAGGACCATAGATGAACAGGACTCGTTGACACAGAACCACGCAGGGACAAAGACGGTTTTCAAGAAGAAACAAGTCTCGGCTACAGATAACAGCAGAGGAGCGAAGGCAGGAAAGACCAACTGGCAAGCCTTTTCCGAAGAGGCCAGGACCCTGGGAAGGATAAAAGCAGCCTCCGGTTATCCAGAGGCACCAAGAAACAAGCCTGGGGTGTCGGGGGGAGGGGGGTGTCATTCAGGCAGAGAGGAAAAAATGTGAAAATTCTGGTCATCTCCTCCAGGATGTCAATAAGGCACAGCTGTGGTCATGGGTCAGGTCAGCAGGACTATGTGCTGAAAGCAGCCTTGAGCTCCTGGAAGGCTGCCTGGCGGAGCCGCCTAGTCTCCTCCTCCCGTTTCCGCTCATCTTGTTCAGCTTTTAACTCAGCTTCAAATCTACTGGAGCATGACAAGGCCTGGGCCTGCAGAGAAACAGCAAACAGATGACACAGTAAGGTCAGGGAAGGGTACAGGGATGTTGACACCAAGCAGTGGACATTCAAATCTTGGACAAATGGAGCTGTCACTGCCGAGAGCAGGGGCTCCAGTGACACCTCCTTTGGTCCAAGGTAAGTGCCGATACCATTGCTTTACTGGTGGCTGACTTCCTGCTTCTATCTTCTGGGTTTGCTCATTCTCGATTCTCTTTTGGGGTAGTAGTGAGTATTCACTACTTCATGATGCTGGGCCAGCTCCACTGTGAAGCCGCTTCCCCAAACTCTTTCCCACACGTACATTCCCTTGGTTTCACAACAACTTCACTACACTCTGGTGGACCAGTTCTGAACCAGGATCAGTGCTACTCTCAGACGGCAGCGGCGAAGGTTCTTTGTGTGTCAGATAGAGGGCAGCTGACACAGAAACTCAGCACTGGTCAAGGCGCAGAGAGCAAGTGACAACGGAATACTTAGGCACAAACATGACACCTCTATCATATTCCTTTCCCAAGACTCAGGGAGAATCATGGGAGAGTGGGTGGAAGCAGGAAGAGCCAGAGGTTGGGGGGTGGGGGCTGCGCTCAGAAACTCACAGCAGCTGTGCTTGCCTGCACAAGACCTGCACACCATCAAGTCAGTCACCATTCTAGCACGGAGTAGAGCAGGAAGGGGTTCATGAGGTCCCATCCTTGGGGACCTAGGGGCAGCTGATGGCTTCTGGGAGAAAGAGTCAGTTTTCGTCAAGGGTGGGGCTCCTGGTAGGTCGACCATGCTCCAGTGGATGGCCTCACACCCAGAAGTACATGGGTAGCACAAATTGGAGTCAATAGGTTTTTGTTTTGTTTTATTTTAAGTTTTTCAAGACAGGGTTTCTCTGTGTAGCCCTGACTGTCCTGGAACTCGTTCTGTAGACCAGGATGGCCTCGAACTCACAGAGATCCATCTGCCAGTGCTGGGATTAAAGGTGTGGGCCACCACCACCTGGCATTTTTATTTTGTTTAAGAGATGCAAGCTGTGGGGTGGAGGAGAAGAGGTGGATTTGGGAAAAGTTAAAGTGAGAAATTGGGGACAAATATGATCAAAATTCATTGTATAAAATTGTGTGAAATTCTCAAGGAATTAAAAAATATTCTTAAAACATTGCTACATTCTAGGTGGAAGAATGAATGCCTTGGAATGGTGGAAAGTAAATGCCTTGGGAGTATTTGATTGGGATTGCATCTGATAATGGGCTGTAAGAGGAAATCTTTATAATAGCTTTCCAAATGATGTGGATGCTGGGAGGCGGACCTGGGTCCTCTGGTGGAGAATACATACTCTTAACCACTGAGCCATCTCTCCAACCCCAATGCATCAGTTATTGTTCAATCCTGCTTCTGTGTTCCCATCAACATTTTAGTTCTGGGCTGGAATATAATTCAGTGGCCGAGGACTTAGCTGGCATGCATAAGATCCTGGGTTCAATCATCAGTAACTACAAAAAGCAAATATATTCTTAAATCTCTCTCAGTCATTCTAAATTTCCTTCTAAATATTACATTTTTGGTTTGCTTTGGTAACATATATATAAAATAATACATGTTTAGCTACGTGTGGTGGCTCATGCTTGCAATCCTAGGACTCAGGAGGTAGTGTTGAGTTCAAGGCCAATCTGGACATATAGAGTTCTAGACTGGCCAGAACTACAGCGTGAGATCCAATCTTCAAATTAACTAAATAAAGTGAATATTACAGGTTTTTGTTTGTATTGTGAGTGGACTTTATAATATCTGTTTTTTTAAACTTGATTTCTCTTTAATAATACTCTATCAGGGGCTGGGGATACAATCCAGTTGGTAGAGTGCTTGACTAGCATGTATGAAGCTCCATGTTAGTCCCTAGTCCCCAAAAAACGGGGTGTGGTGGCAAAAGCCTGCAATTCCAGACCTCAGGAGGCAGAGGCAGAGGATCAGAAGTGTGTGGCCGTCCCTGGCTGCACAGCCAGTGTGAGGAAAGCCTGAGACACGCGAGACAGGTTCAATTGTAGTAATAATGATACCTTATCAGATAAAACCATTTCAAAATCCTCCCTTCTCGAGCTGACTTTTTTCTGTGGCTTACATATTGGTACCCTCTCTCAACGGCACACTGAGTGTGCATGTGATTTTAATGAAGGCTATGATACAGCCCTTGAAGGCAGCTGTTCCGCTTTACGCCCCCAACATCATGGACCGGAAGCCCTCCCACATAGACTTGGCCCAAGCTTTCCAGGATCATCCTCTCTTACCAATCTGCTGGTCAAATATTGTCTTTTCTCATTTCCTCCCTGGAGAATTACCCACTCGGATCATTCACCCACTTTCATGTTCAGCTGTTTCCCTCTTCCAACTGGCAGTTCTCTACATAACTTAATATTAATCCCTTGCTGTCAATCTTTCTGTTGTCTTCTTCCTATCTTGACTGGTCTTTTAAAGTATCTTGGACCCCCAAAGTGCTTAAAATCTTGATGTAATTTATCAACCATTTTCTCTTACCTCTTATGTTACATTTAAGAAGGTCTCCAATACTCTAAATACCTCCAACATTTCAAATCCATTTTTCTGTATTTCTTTCTAATACTTTTATGGTTTTCTCATGTGGATCTTCTGTATTTTGCTCATGTAGTCCAGGCTGGCCTTGTACTCACTGTGTAGCCCAAACTTGCTGTGGAATAATCCTCTTGTACACTGTAAAAATTTGTCACTCAAGTTGGTCTAATAAAATACTAATTGGCCAGTAGCCAGGCAGGAAGTATAGGCAGGGCGACCAAACTAAGAATGCTGGGAAGAGGAAGGGCGAAGTCAGGAGTCGCCAGCCAGATGCAGAGGAAACAAGGTAAGAATACCAAGCCACATGGCTAAACACAGATAAGAATTAAGGGTTAATTTAAGTATAAAAGCTAGTTAGTAATAAGCCTGAGCTACCAGCTGAGCATTTATAATTAATATTAAGCCTCTGAGTAGTTATTTGGGAACTGGTGGGCCAGAGAGAAATGTACAATTACACAAACTGACCTTCAACTTTTGATCCTCCTACCTCCACCTCACAAATATTGGGATGACAGATGTATGACACCATACCTGACTTTTTTATTTGGTTCTTTGAGGCACACACACACACACACACACACACACACACACACACACACACTCCTTTATTTTAAATTTTTAATTTCATTTTATGGGTAGGAGTGCTTTGCCTGCATATATGTATGTGCACCACATGTATGCCTTCCTAGTGCCTGTGGAGGTCAGAAGAGGTCATTGGATCTCCTGGAACTGGTATTACAGATGTTTGTGAGGACCATGTGGGTGCTGGGGAGGTCCTCTGTAAAAGCAGCCAGCAAGAGCAGCCAGTGCTCTTAACTACTAAGCTTTCTCTCCAGTGCCTCATTTATTTTAATGGGGGGGTGTGAAGGAGGGATTTGAAATTCTTCTACTTAAGTGGTTAGCCAGTAACTGTCATTTACATTTATTTTTAACATTTTTGTCTTTTAAAGCTTCTTTTACACTTACCTATTTATGTATTATTAATTTATCGATTTTGGCAGTACCTGGAACTGAGCCTAGGAAGGGCCTCCCCTTGTGCTGTATCCTCGGACCTCTTTGCAACTTTTTGAGACAAGGTCAAGCTGGCAACCTGTGATCCTGTTGCCTCAGTTTCCCAAGTAGCTAAGCTTAGAGCCTGTCTGACTAGCTGTCCCAGACGCTCTTGTTGGTAGTTCACTATTGTTCCTGTAGTTCTCCCCTGCTGAAATCCCACGCAGAAGGCATCTGTCCATCCCGCTTATTAGCCAGCCTATTTCAATGGCTGCTCTGCTTGACCCCACATCCGTCCACAGGATTTAATATCATGTGATATCCTGTTTAAACACTGTTTTGGGGGTGCTATGAGGTAGAACCCAGTGGTCGCTTGTGTGCTTAGCATGCACATGGCCATGAATTCAAACCATACTATCAGAAAATAAGTAAAAATTTATTTTTAATTAAAAAAATTATTTTTAAATTGTGTGTATTGTGCTCATGTGTGCACACACAGCCATGAGTGTGGGGGTGCCTGGGGGAAGCCAGAAGAGGGCACTGGATCTCTTGGAGCTGGAGCTGCAGGGGGCTGTGAGCCACCTGCTGTGGGTGCTGGAGACTAAACCCAGGATCTGGAAGAACAGTACCTGCTCTGGACGGAGACAGCGCTGTAGCCCCTAATTTTCTTACTACTAAATTAGTTGTTGTGTGTTAAACTCACAGCTAGAGTGAATCTTCTTAAATATTACCATTATAGTCTAGTTCTTGTTATCCTAAGATCTCTGAAGTACTGAATTATAGGTATGCACTACCACATAGGGCCCTGATTTAAGATTCTCACAGCTACATTTCTCTTTTTTAATTTATTTATTTTTTTATACAATATATTTTGACCCTATTCTTTCCCTCCCAGTTACAATTCTTTTGTTTGTTTGTTTGTTTTTTCGAGACAGGGTTTCTCTGTGTAGTTTTGCGCCTTTCCTGGAACTTGCTTTGTAGCCCAGGTTGGCCTAGAACTCACAGAGATCCACCTGCCTCTGCCTCCTGAGTGCTGGGATTAAAGGCGTGCGCCACCACCGCCCGGCTCCCAGTTACAATTCTTGATATAAACATTTTTTTCTTAACTGCCTATAGTGGCACATAACTTATTCATTCCCAGCATTCAAGAGGCAGAGGCAGGCAGACCTGTTTAAGTCTGAGGATAGCCTGCTCTACCCAGAGAGTTCCAGGCCAGCCAGGGCTAAACAGTGAGAATCTGTTTCAAAATAAAAACAAACACAACTATTCATGACCTGTGACTCTTGTCTGATTGTGTTTTCAAAATTGGTGGCTTCAGAAATTGAACATGACATGATCTTTTTGCATTCATTCTTTTTTATTATTCATTTATAGTGTCTGTTATTATCCATCTATCTACCTATCTATCCATCTATCCATCTATCTAT